GCTAGCAAGAGCTCTATCAACTGAGCTACATCCACCAGCTCCCAAAGCATTAAAGACTATAATCAGATTGCACTTATATGTTCTATTGTCTACCAATCTGTCAGGGTAATGGGCTTAAGTTCCATGGAGATATTACCTGCTGGCAACATACACAAACTCCTCACTAGCACTGGCCAGTCCCTCTGCCACCTTCTGCAAGGAGGTAAGTGCTTCATTCTGTACATCTTTCCTCTCCACTGAGATGAGCAGATGACAAAGCTGGACAGTCATTGGTGTAATGATTTGCTCCATGGCCCTGTTCCGTATCATAGGACTAAAGTCATCCCAGAGGAAAGAGTCCATCTTCATGAGTCTGTGAACAGAAATGATGACACCGTAAGCTCAGGCTTGTTAACATATGAAATATGAAAGTATTTCTCTTGATTCAATGTTCACCTAATTCTACATCTATAGAAGGAAAAATCTATAAAATATTAAAAGGATACTTAATACTAATTTATACTAAAGACCTTGTGGCTTAGCAGAAACATATGAAAAGGGGTGGGGGGTGGGGCAAAGACACATTAGGTCAGGCCCTGAAGAAGACAACAGAATAAAAAGTAGACTCACAAACCACAAAATAGACACAGTTAAGAAGTGGTTAATGGCAATCCAATGCTGGAATTTGTTGTAGAACATTGTTTTAACTGGGCAAATGCTGGGGATGTCTTTCTGTATGCTGTGAATGTGTTGCTCTGATTGATAAATAAGAAGCAACATGTAAAGTACCGGTAAGCCACAAGCCACGTGGTAACTTACAGATTAATATAAATAGGTTAATTTAAGATATAAGAACTAGATAGCAAGAAGCCTGAGCCATTAGGCCAAACAGTTTAAATAATATAAGCAAACAGTTTAAATAATATAAGCGTCTGTGTGTTTATTTGGGTCTGAGTGGTTGTGGGCTGGCCTGGGTGGGACTGGAGATAACTCCAGCTACAGGTAAAAATGTGTTACATTTGTTTCTGCTGTGGAATATTACTTTAACTATGTGAAGGTGTGTTACATTTGTTTCTGCTGTCTTTGTTAATGATGTAAAGATGTGTTACATTTGGTCATCCTGCATTTGTTTAATTATGTAAAGATGTGTTGAATTTGTTTCTCTTTGCCTGTCTAAGGTACCTGATTGGTCTAATAAAAAGCTGAATGGCCAATAGCTAGGCAGGAGAGGGATAGGCAGGACTAGCAGGCAGAGAAAATAAACAGGAAGAAAAATCTAGGCTAAGAAAGAATGAGAAAAGAAGAAGAGAGAAGAGAACAAGGGAAATGCCTGGGGCCAGCCAGGCAGCCGGCAGCCAGCAGACACAGAACAGGACATACAGAAAGAGAGGTTAAAAAGCCCAAGGCAAAAACACAGATAAAGAGAAACAGATTAAAATAAGAGCTAAGATAAGGCCAAGCATTCATAACTAATAATAAGTCTCCATGTCATGATTTGGGAGCTGGTTGGTGGCCCAAAAGAAAAGGCTTGCTACAAGGATTCTACAACTTATTCAATCTTATTCTCTTGTTCAAATTATTTCCCCAAATGAAGATTAAAAGAGAAGACTCAGGTTAGCCAGATGGCTCAATGGTTCAGAGCACTACTTGCTCTTACAGAGGACCTAAGTTCAGTTCCCAGAAACCACATCAGGCAGCTCACAATCACTTATAACTCTAGCTTAAGGGGATCTGACACACTCTTCTCCAAACAGCAGGCACATACATATGTGTACACACATGTGTGTACAAGTGGGCATGCACATACAAGCACATACGCACAAATAAAAAATTTAAAGAATCTTAGGATAATACATAGGTAAGACACACACAAAAAATGTTGCTGTGGCAGTTTGAATAAGAATGACACCCATAGACTCATATATTTGAATACTTGGTCCCCAGTTGGTGGAACTGTTTGGGAAGAATTTCAAGGTGTGGTCTTGTTGGAGGAGGTGTGTCACTGGGGGTGGGCTTTGATATTTAAGAATATCTTGTGCCATTACCAGACAGCTGTCTCCCTCTCCCTCTTACTGTGGGGGCCCACAGATACTCCATAGTGTGGCCTTATTCTATCTTGACCCAAGGTCAGAGAGTTGGCACCTGTTATATCCCACAAGGCTGCATAACAGGATGTGTTTGGCCAAAGGCATTGTTACCAGGTGTCTTATACTTCAAGGCCTAATTACAGGATGTTTTGCCATAAAGTGTGGCTACTAGATGTTTTGAGAATTGAGGAAGTGTTTACGCTTGTCTGTACTTTGTACCTTGAACCATAATGTCCTTGAGAAGGGAAGGTCTTTTGCCTCTCCCCTTGCTGATGTATAAAATGCCCATGAGGAATAAACTCCGGGCGACTGTGGTATTAACCCAGAGCCCTCCTGATGCTATTCTGTGTCTTTGTCTTTTTCTTTTACATCGTACATCTCTATTTTTCCTATTTATTATTTCTCAATCCACACTCCCCTATATCAAGGACTGTCCAAAGGTCGAGCTGGACTCGGCATCTTACTTGTAGATAAGGACACAAGCTTCAACTGCTACTCAAGCTTCATGCCTGCCCGTATGCTGCCATGCTTCCCACCATGATGGTCATGGACTCTGATCATCTATAACTGTGACCCCAAATTAAACGTTTTTCTTTTGCAAGTTGCCTTGGTCATGGTGTTTTGTCACAGCATTAGAAAAATAACTAAGACAGTTGCTTATTTTAAAAAATGAGTGGGAAAACACCAATAATAGTTTATTATCTTGTACAGTAGTAAAACGCAGATGGCCACAGCATAGGAGGCAGGAGAGAGGAAACATTGACAGGTTTTAGGGTTGTAGCATCAATTAGAAATTTGTAAGGGGAAAAATTCACACATTTGTGTTAAGGACACAATTGCTTAAGTGAACCACTGGGAAAGATGAAAGAATGTGCAACTGAAAAATTGTTACCCAGGAATGATAGAAAGTAATAGAGATAATAGACAATAATAGAAAAGGAGCTAGAGAGCTGCCTCCATGGGTAAGAGCACTGGCTGCTCTTCCAGAGGACCAGGGTTCATATCCCAGAACCCATATGGAGCCTCACACCTGTCATGATCCCATGCTCGGGCCTCTGTGAGCACTGCATGAACGTGGTACACAGACATACATGCAGGCAGAACTCCCATAGTGGTAAAATAAAATAATGATTAAAAGAATCTATGCCAGCCAGTTTGGACTGGAAAAGACAGAGTCTGGAGAAATGGCTCAATGGTTAACCACTCTGGCTGTTCTTCCAAGCATCTGGAACTCCAGTTCCAGGACCGTCTAGCCTCTGTGGACAGCAACCATGCATGCTCTGCACTTACATAAATGCAGGGTGAACACGCATACACATAAAAAGAAAATACAGAAATCTTTTGTAAAAAGTAAGATGGTGAATGACTGAGGAAGACACCTAACGTTCCTCATCCTCTGGCTCCCCCCTGCACATATGCATACCTGAAAACACATGCACGTACCCAGAGAGACAAGGGTGGTGATGGTGAAAGAACCTGAGGAACACACCGGAAGAAAGAAAGACCTCCATGTTCCTGGATTGGCAGAGTTAATGTTGTAGAATGGCTATCCTACCAAAAGCAACCTACAAATTCAATACAACCGCCATCAAAATCCCAATGACATTCTTCACGGAATTAGAAAAAAGC